AAGGTACGTATCTCATTAATTAGCTCATATTATAAAAAAAAAAAATCAAACATTAATCATAATGTCCGACTCTCTCTCCCAATCTTTCCTTGGTTTCTCGACCTCTCAGTTCAGAGTCTCTTGACTAATTTTCTCGCAGCTTCACTAGGCCTACTTGGCCTAGGCCTATTTGTATTATCCCCCTTCTTACTCTTTCTCCCCCCCCCCCCCAATCTTGTGTCTTTTCTCCCTTTCTAATTTAAATAAATATTTTTTTTTTTCTTCACATTTTTTGTTAACTTAATGCTCACGTTTTTTCTCCTCTCACTCTCGGCTCTCCTAACTAGTAACTCTTTCTATCTCCCCATATCTTTCATCTTATTTATTGGCGGTTACATTCGTCTCTATAATGTTGCCATTGACCCCCAACAAGAAGTCTGTAGATCTACTGTAAACAGCGCTGCTGGCTCCACGATCCGCGGAGCGCCAAGGTTCCAAGAAAACTACCGTCCTCGAGTCAAGCCCCATCGGGAGAGCATAGGGGCGCAGAGCTGAGCGGTCATGTAACGTGTCGATCGGGCGTGATCACAACAACTGGCGCTTGGCGAATTGGCCGGAGCGCGAGCGCAAACATATTGTCATATCTCCACATAAATTTGTTCTTAAAATTACTTCAACATGGACACCAATATACGTACTAATGATATAAATATATCAACGGCTCTTCTGCTCAGCAAAATCATGTCTAGGATAGGTCAATCCAAGCGTTCTACCAGCATAATTTCGTCCACAGCTTTCGTACCCAGACTCCACGGCCTTTGATATGAAATTAATGCATTGAGCTAGCTAGCTAGCTAGCTATAGCGCTAGCTATGATTGATATGGTTGTTGTTGTTGTTGGGTAATTGTTTATTGGCGTTCATTCAATGTTGAATATAGTCTATACGCCATAATTATTTTTAATTTTATAAGGAAAATCAGTTATAAATAAGAAAACTGAGGATAAAGATTTGTAATGATATAATTAAAAAGTAACGCAATTTTTTAGGAGTCTCTGGATGGTTTGCAACTTCGTGTTTCTGCTTTTTTTTTTTTTAAAGTTTAATCTGGTCAGCCCGGTTTCGATGGCATGGAAAACTAGCTTTGCCCGATGTGAAACAGGCTTCTCGGCTACTCGGCGTGCGTGCGCAGTGATCTTTTAATTTTATAACGCACGGTGCCTAGACCACTCAGAAACACAGAAACACTATAAATTGAGACACATCGTACAGGGGCGCTCCTGAAACCGAATTTCCAATCCATTCAAGTAAATTGATATACAAATCTTATCACATTATCACTATTTGTAAGCAAACATTTAAGTGGGCTCTTTGTTAGTATCAATGCATAAAAATAGAACAATTGAAAAATTAACGTCTTTATTTAATATTATATATGGCCTATATAGGCCTATATATTACATACCTACATACATTATATTTCTTTATTTATTCCTCCTTTTATTCTCTTTATGAGAATCTCCTAAAGAAGCGATAGGGGAAAGAAGTACTTTTGGCTTATTTTACTTTACTTGTAGGTAAACTTATTAGGTCTCTTGTTTTATTTGAAGCGACCTGTTCTATGGATATATAGTAGGATGGCATATTGAGCCTTCTGTGAAAACTTGAAAAGTATTCTTTTTGTTTCTTCTATTGTTTTGGTGTCTAAATCTGAGAAAAGCATTGCTCGTTCAATGATATACTTATTACAATAAAATATAAAATGTTCTTCTGTTTCACTGATGTTACAATAATCACAATATTCTGTTTCACTTAAACCCACTTTAGCCTTTTGTTGGTTCAGTTGAAGAACACCCATTCTCAATCTATGTAATATTACTTCACTGTATCTGTTTACCTTGATTGATATACATGAATGATTCTCAAATCGTTTTAAAGGTGATTCTATCGTTTTCCATCTTTCTTCCCCAATTTCTCGTACTCTTTTACTCAGTATTGATTTCAGTTCTTGTACATTAAGATCATTGTTAATTTCTATGTTTTTCTTTAATGCTCTCTTAGCAAAACTATCTACTACTTCATTCCCTACTAGTCCACAGTGAGATGGGATCCATTCTAGCGTTATGTTTATACCTCTATAATGAAGATGTGTTATTTTTATCAGTATTTCTATTACGAAATTTTCTTTTATCTGCGATTCTATTGCATTTATTGTACTCAGAGAGTCTGAAAGAATAACTATACCAACATAAATATTCAAGTTTTCAATCCAATCTAATGCCATAATAATGGCTACTTGTTCTGCCCTGTATGACGATGTGTCATTGTGTAATCGTTTCTGTTGATTGATATGGTGGCGACATCGACACTCAACGCGAATAGAATATTCTCTTATCCGGCTCGCTGCCAAATTAAAAGTAAAACCCATACTTAGTAGAAGTCATAAAAACTTATACTAAACAAAACGCCAATAATCTTTTCTTTCCTATTTTGTTTTTAAGTTCCAAGTTTCCTCATGAATATGGAGGGGGGGGGTCCCCTCCTGACTATGAACCCCGTATGCCGGTAGCATTAGGAAAATACTTAGACTTATATAGATCCCCTATAGGCCCTATTTTCAAAACAAAGTTATAATTAGAGGAAAATTACAACAATTAGAAAAACCACTAGCATATTTGAAGCGGAGGGGAAAGATCCCCCACCCCCACAACGCCCTGGTAGAGCTTCTTGTATTTGTATAAAGTGCCCCCATCAGCCATGGTGCTGGGGGAGAAGAAGACAAATCTTTAAACTAGTTGGAGAGTTGATACCATACAGTAATTGCACAATTTGCAATTTTAGATTCTCATACATAAATTAACAGGCCTATAATCATCATCATGTTTAATTTTTTATATGCCGGATTTCTTTTAAAATTCTCGGATTTTTCTATTTTCACTTTGTTTATCTACTACAAAGTTCGGAATGTCATACTTTTGTCATAATAGCCCATGAATACCGATCATATTTTAATTTCTACTCCTATATTCTTGAACTGCTTGTTTATCTTTATTTTTATTCTCTTCTCGGCCATTCATTCTATATTACTCTTGGGTTCTTTTCGTCTCCACTTTGAAAGTTTGGGAAACAAATTATACGCATCAGAATGATATTCCATATAATGTGTATTTCGACCAGAGGCGGCGGAGCCTGCATGGAGGCCAGGGTCACACTCCTTCAGTGCCCCATTTTACTTCAGGTAAGTTCCCCTTTTCATCTTTGATGAGTGCCGCTTCAGTCTTACACAGTCTGTTAAGTGCCTCCTTTTATTATGATACGCGTGCCCCATTTCCCCTTTCTTATAAGTATAAGTGCCCTTTTCCTTCTGATAAATGCCCCCTTCTCCTTTTTAATAAGAGCCACTTCCCCTTCTCATAAATGCCCCTTCTGACACCTCTGATAGATGCCTCTGTGTCACATGTGCCTCTCTTCCTTCGATGAGTGCCCATTTTCCTGTGTTATAGGTGCCTCAGAGTTTATCTCAGGTGAGTGCCTCTTTTTGGGTACAAGAAGTGCACCTTATCATGACCATCTCTGATAAGTGCCCCTTCATCTCTTATAATTTCCTCTTTTCAAATCTGAGAGGTGTCCATTGCAATTGACAAGTACCTCTTTTCCTTTGTACTAATTTCATTCTTATAGGTGCACCTTTTTATCTCCGATGAGTGCCCTTATTCAAAGTTGGGAGGCGCCCCATTTAACTTTGTGATATAGGTTCTCCTTTTCATTTGTGATAAGTGCCCCTTGATTTTGACACGTGCAACTTATTTTTTCTAATTAGTGCCATTTTTCTTCTGACAATTGCCCCTTTTCCGTTCTCATAACTGCTTTTTTTCTCTGGTGAGTGCCCTTTGTTAGGTGCAAGAAGTTGTTCTTAGTTGCTTTAAATTATGAGCAATTAATGGTGAAAGGAAAAAGGGGCACTTATACAAAGGGAAAATGACGCTTATTAGAAAAGAAAAGGAGCACGTGTCAAAGTAAAAAGAGGAATTATCAGAGGTAAAAATGGGGCATTTATCGCACCTGATAAGGGACCCTCACCAGAGATGAAAACAGGCACTTAATATGAGAACGGAGAAGGGTCACGACTCATATTACAAAGGAGAATTATAGGGGCAAAGGTATTATCAGAGGTGGTAAGAGGCACGTATAAGAATGTTGAACGGGCACCTATTTGAAATAAAAAAGGGGCACTCATCTGATGTAAGAGGGGGCTCTTTTCCTATGTCAAAAGGGGCAATTTAAGGTTTTTTGCCTAACTATAAATTTGGAAAGATTTCATTTTCCAACAAACGCATACAAAAATGAGAAAAACCCCATAAAATCAGCCACATTTGTAAATCAATTGTATCGAATTAGAAACAAACCACGTTTGAATTTTATTGGGGGGGGGGGGGTGGAGCAACTGCCACAAGCCCCCCCCCCCCCCCCATCAGTACGCCAGAGAGTATAACCAAGCAGTTATTTTATATTCACGCGTTTCAAAAGAGTTGATTTACTCTGTTTTATTGTTTACTGTTTGATACACTTGGTAATGATTTCAGAATAGGAGAGAGCCTTCCTGTTCTAGTGTTTTGGAGCAGAAACAAAATAAACGATTTCAATATTCTTAAAAGAAATTTGAAATTTGTTCCCTCTCCTTCAAGTACAATGAGTATGCTTAATACAAAATTCCATGTAAATGCAGTTTATTATAAGATGCCAGGTGAAACTTGCAAGTCATGAAAAAAAAGATAGAGTAAGACTTGTGGGGGAGGGGGGAGGGGCTACTGAAAAGTCCACAATCATGCATCTATTTAGATAGACCTATATTACCGACGTTTTCTAGATTTTCTTTGTATTAATGCTTGAAATACTGAAACTTGGAAGTAAAAAGCATAAGATTGTGGACATTTTTTAATAGCAACACGACATTAGTAACAGGTTGACTGCATTCACTTTGACCCCACCCCCGTAGCTGACGTAGTGTGACGTCACGAAATTATGTATTCCGTCAGTCAGTTCGGCTAGACATAATACCAGAACACCTTATAATTTCTTCGTTTGTCGTCCTATTACAAATATTTATAGACATCTATCGAGATTTAGTTATTGAAAGTATACATTGATCTACAAGGTGAGTAATTCAAAATACACGTTTCTGTCTTCATTTTCTGAATATATCCAGAAGTCTGTGGGATGCGAATGTGTTTGGGTGAATGTGTCTGTATTCATTAACATCAGTCCCGTGTACTATAATTTGTGTTATTCATTTTTGAGACTGCTTTGTCTGTGCCCCCGTGATTTTGTATGTGGCCGACTTCACCAGTTAGCTAAAAAAAGGCCTAAAGAGAAAACAGTTTGATTTGAGATATATTTTTTGGATCAGTAAGGAAATATTATGGAAATGTAGTAATCTAATCTGTCAATGTTTTCAAATGCTAGACTAGACTAGACAAGTAAGAATAGATTGAGAAATATGTTAATTATAATTGACTTTTTAATAATATTTGTTTTAGAAATCTATAATTTTTCTAAAATTAAAAATATTTTTTATTAAAGACAGAAAATTACAAAAGATTTTCTAGTTGACCAGAGGAGTATAGACTATTTTATTACTACAGAAAGTAAACCAATGCAAGAGCCAAGAACTTTTGGTCTAGGTCTTTACTCGATGACGCGACGTGACACAATTACAAAAGTCAAAACTAGGTCTAGTGCTGGTCGAAATGCATAGATCTATCTAGTTATCAACCATGCACTAGAGCCTTTTTTTTAGAGGCTTGCAATGGATTAGAAAAAGGTATAAATCCATTGCAAGTACAAAATGATCGGGGGAAAATGATAATTATTTTATTGTTTCAGATAATTAAGTTAGCTGTGATGATGAATTTAACTCTTCCTTTGTATCGATAGACGATGAGAAGAACTTCTGATATTTGAAAAGATTTATAATCCAAGGTAAAAAGCAAAGAAATCCCACTAATATTTTTGCAGTCGAGTGTTTTTTGTATGGCAATTGTCTTGTCTCTTGTTCCTCTCGGCAATCAACTTGGCCAATGAAAGATTAGCCACAAAAATGTCAGTCTTACAATCTTGACTTTTTTTGTCTTTGCAATTAGGACCGTTTTTTTGGTTGCCAATTTTTATTGGGGTCAATTTGCCCCAGCTATTCGAGCTCCCGTCTGCTAACGCTGCGACAAAGAAATGCTTAAAAACAAATATGAAGCGGCACTTGCCAAGATTGGCAATAGTTACATGTACCTGTCTTCACAAGCTCTAATTTAAAGATAAAGTTGAGTTCTGGTCATGCGATTGCATTGTGAAAGAAAAGTGGATCTTGTGGCATGTAATTATTGGTGTGTACTGCAAGGTTCTGGAGTCATCAAAATCATAATAAATTTGGCCCAGTCTTGGTAAAGTAACAAGCACTGTACACAGAAAGATGTATGGGACTACACAAATGGTGTAGGGGCAACTTACATGTACCTTGATTTCCTTATCTGTCCATCAAGGCTCAATATACTCAGGGCGGTGGGCGATTCACCCCCCCCCCCCCCCCCCCCCCCCCCCCGAGAGCTTCATAATCGCCTCCGTCAGATTTTAAAAATCGCCCTGTGGAATTATGAATAAGATTATCTGTTCTGTTATAACTTTCACACAATATTGAGTTTCAGCTTCCAAACCTTAAAGGGATAGTTGAGTTCTGTTCCAGAGGGCGCTACACAAAATATTTTTTTTTGTGAGATAATGAAAAACTGAGTGTCAGATTTGAAAGAACATAATATTTTAATGACAAAATCATCTTTGTTTGATCAAAATCGGTTCAGAGACGGCTGAAATATAACGATTTCTAATACTGTACCACCACAAATATTAGATATTTTGAAAACAAAATAAAAAACCATTGAAAAAAACCAAATAACGCCTTTTACGTTGTATTTCAGCCAATGCCGATGTTGGCTTTTTTGTTGGCATTTTCGTGTTGCTTATATTACCCACAATTAGCCAGCTCATGTATTGTTGTTTTTAATTAAATATAAGTAATTAAAGGTCACCATGTTTTTTTTTACGTGGAGCTGAAATGTTATGATCATATTGGCTAAATTTCACACATTTTGGGGTCTAATATTACCTTTATAGCAGTTTTAAAAGGGCACTATAAATGTCTTAGATAAGAATAAGAGCAATAACCATGCACTTTGAAGGCATTTGCGGTCTGAAAACAGAACTTAACTTTCCCTTTAAACCAATGAAATGGAACTATGGAAATTACATGTAGGTTAGCGTGCAGGATTTCTCGCTCGAATTTTTCGGTGTCTAGAGGCTGCTATATTGTAAACAAATGAACGCTTTTTCGCCGCAAAATTGCGCTTTATCTCCAGTCTCCACATCTCTATGAGTATTACAGATACAAACAACGGAAGCTCGCAGTGCACTGCGGCCGTCAGCAGTTACTATACTAGCTGCGCCGGTAGTATACTGATGTGCACGCTGCCGCCCCATATCTGCTGGAGCTATACCTAGATAGAGGCGATCGCGCAAGGACTGTAACGTGGAGAAGTTTTCGTTGTGAAAATCGTAAATCCTATGAAACCTGGTGATTCCAAAAGACCAGCAAATAATGAACCTCGACTTGTAAAAATCAACCGAAGTCTAAATTTAGTAAAAGGAAACCTATTGGCGAGGAGTCAACTGTACGGGCTTGGACCAGAAATTTCGTACAGAGGGAAAAGATTTGACCATTATATGCATGTTATAACTTGTAAAGTTGTAAGAGGGAAATAATGCTGATAATGATGAAATAGCAAAGAATTTAAGAGTATCATGGGTACCACCAATTCAGTCGAAATTTGTATTAAAAAAGAGCCCCCATCAGTACTAAAAGAACCCCTGTGAGAAGGCTCACGGGGGCTCTTTTTTTTGGAAGAGCCCCTGTGGACAAAGTATTAATTTGTCAAAAAAAGTTACACCTAGAAAATTGCTAATTATTTTAAAAATCATCTATGAACAGTAAATTATTATACATCTTATGAAAGAGTGTTTTATCCCAAATCATTTGGTATCATTTTTGTGTTGTACGCATTCACGCTTGGATGAACAGTAGGCATTGTTTGCGAGAGTGCATCTTTTTCTGTGCTCACCATCAGTGCTCCCAGGTACTTGAAATCAGGTACATTCTCCAACTGAATTTCATTATTTGTTTTTATAGTGATGATCCCCCTGTGATTGAATGACATGAACTTGGTTTTGCCTGAATTCATCCGGAGCCCGACCTTGCCTACCGATGTCTCCACCCTGCTCAGGAGTTTTTGGGCTTGCTCTAATTCCTCAGATAGCAGGGCTATGTCATCGGCGAAATCTAGGTCTGTTATGATTTCCGGACCAACTCTCCTACTTCTCCTTCTTTCTAGTTGGAATCCAAGTTCTTCTTCATGGCCGTCTATAGCTGCTCGCAAGGCATAATCGAGGACTATTACAAATAGGTAAGGTGCAAGCGTGTCACCTTGAAGCACACCAGCCATGATTTCAAAGAGGTCAGTCTCTCCATCAGGTGATATTACTTTTGCTTTGGTGTCTTCGTACATCTTGCCAATAGCATTCACCAGTTGTTCCGGTATGCCATATGCAGTAAGGATCTTCAACATCTTGCCTCTGTGGATGGTATCGAAGGCTTTGCGAAAGTCAATAAATGTGATAATAGCCGGGAGCTGATTTTCTTTTACTCCTTCTATAAGCCTGCGAAGTGCCAAAATATGTCCCACTGTGGTCCTTCCAACTCTGAATCCATTTTGGTTGGTTCTCAGGTGACTATCAAGTACAGGTCTGATCCTGTTCAAAATCAATCTATTGAAAGTTTTGGCCACGATAGAGCTTAGACTGATTACTCGATAGTTTCCTCCTTGGCTCAGGTCTCCAGACTTTGATGTTCAGTATGGACCATTGGTGGGGCTTTTCTTCATTGATCAGAGCGTTGTTGCAGAAACTCAGAATGATTTCATCCAGGTCACATCTTTTTAGAACCTCTGGTGGTATGCCATCTTCCCCAAAGCTCTTCCCTTCTACTAGTGACTTTATTGCCTTTGAATATTCTTTCAGATCAAATGGCCCTGTCTTGATGTTCAGACTCTCTAGTATAGGCAGAATTTCTTCATCCTCATCATCTATATCAGGAGGGCTTCCAAGAAGATTCTTGAAGTGGTTGAACCAGTTTATGACCCTGTCTTTCTGTGTGTCTCCTTTCCAAAAAGTTTGCCTGAAGAGGTAAAACTAACTCCTAAAGTGAAAAGAAAACCCCTGTAACTTGGTCATGGAACTAATGTTACACCATCATGACTTAACTTGAATTTTTATCTTATCATACAACAGATTTGTCTCCTTACACGTTTGCCTTTGTCCAAGTATCATTGACATATATGCACATTTATATTATTATACAGTACATGTTCTTCAGCATTAAAGAGGAAGTGCACCCTGATAAATTGGGATGTATAAAAACAGTAAAAACAAGAGGAACAAATTAATGAAAGTTTTAGAAATATCCGATTAAAAATAGGAAAGTTGTTAATTTTTTAAAGTTGTCATCAGGGAAAAACAAATTTTCAACACTGTGATGTATCTTGCAAGATAGATAGATAGATATTTGGTTTTATTCAAGTACTGATTAAAAAGTATGAAGACTAAACAAGTCAGTTTACAATATAAAATGCATAACCAAAAAAAAATAACAAGGTAAACAAACACATGGATAAATTAAATCGTTAATAAGTAAAAGAAAGTATATAAGTATATAATAATAAGTAAATACATAATTATATACAATTACCATAAATAATTATATATAATATGATCATTGCTAGTGAAAGGACTTGGAATTCAAATAAAAACAAAAAAATTGAAACAGCTTTGAGAGATCACAATACTAATACTTGACATAATCATTATGCAATAATTAATTAACATTTAAAAATTCACAATGGAGAACATAATGAGGGCATAACTAAGAAGTTGAATTCAGAAGTTGTATGAAGTATCCGCTCCAATTTGATCCGCTCCAATTTGCTCTGTACAGAAATTTCATGAACTTTTATTTTCTTAGTTATTGATGACGGAAAAGATTTATTTCATACAGGGATTGTATTTAAACAATATTTGCAATAATTGTAATTAGGGCACATGTATGATTGAGCAATTTTTTAAAGGGAAAGTAGACATTCCTGAATTACTGTAGCACAGAACAAATGGAGGAAACCTTGCAAAATACATCACATAGTTTCCAATTTTTTGTTTGATGGATCAAAACTCATGAGTACTTTCTTATTTTTAATCAGATTTTGCTCCAATTAAAACCAACTAAATATCATAGTGGACTCCCCCTTTAACATGCATCCTCATCTTTATTTTTCAAATTGAATTTTCTAAAAACTTTTTAAATATTTGTATAAGTTCATGGTTTTTTTTTAAAATAATTTGTTTGAAGTATTAAATGGTTATCAATGAAAATACTCATAAAACCCCCTGTGTACCGGTAGTCATATTTCACCATAACTTGGGTAGAGAGTAGAGATGTGATCATGAAACGAGTGTTTTAGAAATAAGAGTGTGGTTTTAGAATATGTACACATGCATGCATACCTATTTATCAACCTAGTATTAACACATTTTAGTTGTCCTCAATTTTTTTTAGTTTAGTTTTGATAATTTGCTTTCATTAATACAATTGTTTTCTCATTTTTCTTCTACAGATTGAAGTATCTGATGATGTCCTGAAGGTCTTCTGCAATGGATGAAGCCAGTGTGCAGAGAGGTTTGCAGAAGGCTTTGAGCGAGGCCTCATCCAAAAGCGTCAAGACTAAGAAGGAGACGGACCTTGCACCCACTGACAGCGATGCATCATCCAGATCAGGTTCCCCTGACCAATGCTGCCCGATCTGCCTGGGCAAGTTCAAAGACAAGTCCTTCTCCGATGGCTGCTTTCATCGATTCTGTTTCCAGTGTATACGAGAATGGGCCAAGGTGAAGTCAACATGCCCTCTATGCAAAACTCCTTTCAAATCCATCATTCACAATGTAGTGTCTAGTGATGTATATGATCAGTACGTGCTACAGCCTACGGAGAATGGGTCTTTGGAGTTGGATCGTAACGGTGCTCGCTTTCGCTACCACACTACCCTAACCACCAACCGAAGATCTGCCTGGGAGACCCGCATGGATCAGCTTTTTAATCGCCAGGCCAGGCTGGCAGAGAGGATCCACCGCGAAAACGAGTCCCGTCAGCGCCGTCAACTGATCTATGCAGCCAGCTTGAGGGTCCATCATATCGCAACCAACCGATTCACTAGGTTCAGGGATACTTCTCCCCAGTTTTTCCGTGAGAACCCTGCTGTAACACACCGTCTTATCCCTTGGCTAAGAAGAGACCTTGGGGTGCTGTTCAATGGGAATGACCAACATGTGCGATTCATGACCCAGTACATTCTTTCACTGCTTCCAAATGTTGACATTCAATCAGAGGAATTCCACAACCACTTGAGGCCGTTCCTCTATGGACGCACTGAACACTTCATCCACGAGTTCACCAGCTTTGCTAGGTCACCTCATGACATGGACACCTACGACCAGATGGCCCAGTATGACTTCCGTCCCGAGAACCCTCAGTTCACTGCCACTCTCCGGCCTCAGCATCCGCTTGTAGCACAAGAGAATAGCAGCAGTGAGGAGAGTGAGAACAACCATTCCAACAATATTGAAGTCATCGTCATTTCCGATGATAATGAAAGTGACAGCAATCCTTTTGTGATACCAGCAGAAAGTTCCCAGTCTGCCTCTCTCAGTCATGACCTACCCGGGCCATCTTCTGCTACAAGCGGAGTGGGTCCATCCACAAGTTATGATCTAGCCTCTACCCATAACCCTGAGCCACCTGCAAGTCAAGACCCTGATCAACCAGGCCCCTCTGGTGTCACTCTTTCAGGAAGCCTGCAGATCAAGCAAGAGCATGACAGTGCCCATGGCAGGAGAAAGTTGGAAGATAGTGCAGAAAGCAGTGGCAGTGTAGAGATTGTTGGATATCAAAAGCCATTCCATCTGCGCACTCCCATTGCTTTCATAACCATATCTGATGATTTATCGGATGGTAAACGGGAGAAAGAGACAAAAGGAAGGCTTAGTAGGAATAAAGACAAGACTGCACCTAAAAGAAACCACGTAGAAGAAAAAGCTGGTGGAAAGAGGAAACAGAAGACAAAACATACCAGAAGTTTGCATTCTTCAAACAGAGCTGGTAACTGGTCTACAGATTCAGATGACAATTACTACAGCAGATCCAGACGTGATGGATACAACAGGAGAGGCAGAGATGCTGCTGATGACATAGACGGTCCTTGCACATCGCGCTATGATTCTCTGCACAGATCTTCCTCTAATCACAAGCCTTCCCACAGTCCAAATGAACTATTCCGTAAAGTAAGAGAAGGGGGAAGCAAATGGAGTCTCTACTATGAGACCAGACATGATAACTATTCTAGCTCTAGGAACCGACGGTCAAGGTCTCGGTCAAGGTCTCGATCAACGTACTCCAGAAGATATGGAGAAGACAGCAGATCACGGGACTGTTCAAGAGACCTCCCGAGACCTTTGAGGGATGAACGAAACTGGCAACGAAGCAGAAGCAGAAGTAGATCGAGAGAGAGGTCAAGGAACCCATCGAGATACTACAGAGAGGAAGATAACATGAGAAGCAGGAGTAGGAGTAGGGGGCCCTCTGTGGACTTCTTCAGTGATGAAAGCAAGTTAAGTTCACGGAATGGCAGTCGTAACGGCAGTACTTCTAGCACCTTTAGCAGACAATCACATCAAGATCGTCATGCTCTACATAGTTCAAAGAAAGACATTTCTAGCTCAAGTCATGTGAGCGCATCCAAAGCATCAAGATCGCCTGTGCTCAAGCGTATGCTAGAGGATGCTAATGATCCTCCAAACAAGGAAGGAGACTCGCACGCAAGCAAAAGGCACAAGCACAAACATAAGCATCACAAGAAGAAAAGCTCCAGACATAAGCACAAGAAAAGTCGAGACAAGGATTCTAAAAGTAAAAAGAAAGACAAACACGTTAGGGACCATGGTGGTAGCCACGACAAGAAGCCTCAGGATGACAAGGAGAAAGCGATTGGTGAAAGCATATCGGACAGTACTGTGGAAGATGTGGACAGGCCAAACGAGGGCGCTACACATAGCAGGATGGGGACTACACCCACTCCCAGTGGTCATGTTGAGAATCATAATATAACCTTGCAGGATTTGTTAAACATGGATGAGAGTATGACCTTTGACCCAGCCCCGCCAGCAGGGCATTCAGATAAAGGATCTGGATCCATGCTATGATCACAACTCCCATTCGATGCACGGCAACCATGGTGACAAAGAATGAGGAAGTATAGAGAAAAATTATAATACATGTAGGTAGACTCTCACCAAAGAGGATAGTAGGTTGAATCTTGAAAGAAAAGAGATATTTAGATAGTTAATGATAGGTTAATAAACTTGCATATGATTTCTGTTTAGGTTAGAGGTCATCTTCTTTGTATTGTGATAGGAATAGGCCTTTGTTCAGATTAATTAATACATGCCTTGCAATGCTTCACTCAGCTTCTCACCTAGACCAAGAAGTCATTTAGGACAAGAGGGGTTGGGGGGGGGGGCGGTGTGTCTATGAATATTTGAACCCATAACTTGTCCTCTTTAGGGCCATTCAATAGTTGACCAACTCTTTGCATATGACCTTCATCATACAGGTGTGACACAGAAACTCGCAAGTTATCCTTTTTGACCAACTAGACATCATTGCATTTGCTTCCTACCCTGCCAGATAAAGTAAAAATTGGTATTTGATCATGTAATACTTTTTTTCAGGGGAACAGACTGATGTATAGGGTTAGGGTTAGGGTTTCCATACATACATTTTAAAGCTTTTTCGCTTGTAAATCTTTTAATTTGTCAATACCTTATAATTTATCAATTATAATAATAATAATTTTAATGGTGGCTTCTTATATAGCACACAAGTCCTTCACGTTGTGACACTCCTAGCGGCACCCCGATTATACATATTAGTGTGGAAAAATGCCAGATGAAATTTAGCTATTCATATTACGAAATGTTTTTTTTGTATGACAAAATGTAGTACTTTGCTCTTGTATTTCAAATTGATTTTAGGTAGAGAATTTGTGTGTATTTTCGTTATAAAGCTAGAATGTTAGTTGTTACACATCAAACTGGTCTAGTTGCATTACAATTTTCGTTTTGTATTGCAGACCATAGCATTTGTACTGATACTGGTAGTGAAGGTGAAAAAAGGACAGATTGACAAGAAGATGTTCTTGATTTCATAGTTAAAGACCCTGTTGAAATAGATGATTTGTATATCAACGGAAAGCTTTTATGCCATAGATTACAATAATATCAATTATATTTTAGTGTCTGTCAGAGGAGTAACAATTCTCTGAAAACCCGAAATCTAAATCTTTGAAAGTCGGAAGTTGTCGACCTACATGTAAAGACTAGCTATCGACTTGATGACATCAAATTATGTGGAGTAGGCATATTCTCAATGACTTTACCATTAATTAAGTATTGCTCATCGCCTCAGCTATATGGGCGAGCCGATTGGTCCCACATGTTATGTCGTCATGGTAATTGCAGCAAATTTGTCCCCTATTGACTTGTAACCTTGAAGGGTGCGGAAAACAAGTATTTAAATGCTTTTGTGCAATACTGAAATGGAAAATATTTGTTATTCCTTTATATTTGTATTCTGCGTTCATCCAGCTTTCCATTAATATCAAGTTGCATTTTCATGTGATAGGGTCTTTACATGTAAGTTTAATCATTAACTTTTATAAAATTAGAATAGGGATCCCCTGCAATTAGTTGTTTGGTATTTATCTTTTCAAGAAATCTCTTACTGGGGCAAACAATATTTGCATACTGTGTCCTGTCTTAGAAACTGCTTGCAGGAGTTTCTTAGTTTAACTCCTCATTCCCTAGGGATCGTAACCCCGGACTGCTACATCATCTGGCCAATATTTTTTGTGTAAAGGTATTTTCACTGATCAAGGAGAGTTCAAGGACGAATTCGCGAGATGTTACATCCATATGAGGCCACAACCACAGCCGATTGAATACTTTTCAATGATTATCAATTTTATCATCATATTTGTGTTGAAAATGAACTCACTACCGAGTATCATAATCGTAATATAAGAATTATTTCGGTAGAAATAAATGAAAAAAGTGCCACATTATGTTCATTGTGGTCTCAAACTGCACGGCATGACCCGGCGGCATGCAACAGGCTTACAGAAGTGATTTCGACATGTGACATTCATACTTGCTGGACAAAATTTGCATGTTAAATTTTTGATCAATGAGTGTTTCAATAAGTTCCTGAAAATTACCCCCCCCCCCCACTCCCCCATGAAAATGAATAAATGCTTATACAGAATTTGGTACATATACACTCACTGTGTGACATCAACTGGCAGTCCTCTGCTTGTTCAATTAGTCAGGTTATTAAAGAATCTGGGCTTCAGAGTAAAATACCTTTTAGAGAACAAGGCACAATTTGTTCCCAAAGAATTTTTTTTTTTTTTAAATTTTTTTTATAGACCAGGTGAGGTACTACATTTATATCAAATCAGTTAGATTTGTGGATGGTGGGGGTTGGATTAGGGATAAATGGTCTTGACTGGAACATAATCAACTACTGTTGCCTTACATAATATATACAAATATGTAGCTCCTACAAAATGCACAGAGCAGTCGATAGCCTTAACCAAAGCTGAATTTTTACTCTACATGCCGAGAAGAAAAACGCCTCTGCAAGAGAAAGGGAAAAAAAAATTCCTGACCTTTGACCTTCCACTTTCCTCTTTCCTCAAGGCCATTAGGTCATCCTTCATTTCTATACCTCACAAATTTTTGTCCAAGGTTGATCTGACATAGCTAAGGCTGAAGTATATCCAACAGTTGTGATGACATAATTGCAGCTACATGCATCTATAGTTACTCTACAAAATTTAAATAGTTTGTCATGACCCATATGGCCTGGAAGAAGAAAAAGAATCAAATTATCAGATGATATGAAGAGAAAATGTATAATTCTTATCTAGGCAGGAAACCGCTTAAACTAGAAAAGAAATGTTTATAATAACATGCAGAGCGATATTGATAATGGTATCTTGCCAAGTATTGTTTATAGCACTTCTAACGTATCTCAATAAGTTATATTGTATTCTATTATGTCGGGCAACAAGATTCACATCTGATAGGATCAATTTATTATTCATAGGTGTCGTTTAAAATAGAATTTAAGTCCAAAAAAGTGAAGGGAATCACAATTGTGTGGGTGCTGACAATGATATACATTAGAATTCCATCAAAATTTCCTCTCTAGTACTGAAGATATCTATGAATGTATTGTTATTCCTAATGCACTAAGAATAGAATTATTGTTAATGTATCAAAATAAACATTAGTTTTCTCTGTTGAGCAGTGATCATTTTGCATAAGATTTCACCCAAAAGGTTTAAATTAAATATATTTTCTTAACATTATTTTTAGCGCTGAATGAAGATCATCAATTTAATACTAACAGGCTACTCTGTGAACATTATTGAGAGTAGTTTGGGTCCAGTGTACACACAAAATATCGTCGCTGTTTTCACGAAGTGACGGTAGTGAAAGAAAAATGCATTCACTTTGCGTGATGATTTTCCTCACTACCGTCACTTCGTGAAAACAAGGACGATATAAAGAAAGGGCTCGTTATGAGTCGTTAAGGTATTGTGCGGTAAACCGCCGATGTTTTTTAAAGTGTAAATGAAAGGCAACTGTGCGCAACAAAGGTCATACTCGTCTTCACTTAGCTTTGTGTTATAAGATATAGAAAAAGCGTTATACGCCTTTCCATGAAATCTATAGATGATTTTTCAGCAAACTTGTGTTTTTCAAGAGCAAAATCTTTCCATCCATATATAATTTGTCCGTAATTATCAGTTGTCGTGAATTTTAGTAGAGTGACTACTTTAAGAGTTTAATTATATCTAATTATCTTTCTCGGTATATATTTTGTAAGAAGAACCATGGTATTTTAAGTCGTATGAACATATAGAGGAGTAATGGACAAGTGGAGTACAGTGTAACACTTAAAAGACACTACTGTATTTCAAAAGTATATAGTTGTGTAAAGGAAGGTGAAAACAACATTTTAGATAAGATGACTTGTTTTGAATATTCACTTATTTAATTTCATAGTAATAGTACTTTTAATTTTTTTAGAAAAAAAATAAAAGTGAAAAGTATATGTTGTGGTCTTCTAGGTCAAGCTCTAGAACGTGAGGTGCATGTAGATGAAATGCTCTCTAATTGTTAAATGGAAAACGAAATTGTTGATTTGGATGTAAACCACCTTTATTGGTCATAGAGCACTATTATAGGTAGGTCAAAGGTCAAAGTGATCTGAACTTTCTGAAGGTGTGTCAAAGGTCAAAATCATATCAACTGAACAAGGAGTTGGACTGATATTTTGTGACTCCTGATGAAAAGAAATTGTTGATACAGAATGAAATTGTAAATTTAGATATGGACTGCCCGTAATGGTCGTAGAGCGCTCTTGTAGGTAGGTCGAAGGTCAAAGGTCTAAGAAATGTGTAGATATGTCAAAGGTCAAAAGTATTTGTACTGAATTGAGTTGGTGTGATAATAAGTGACTTCATGAAGAAAATGTCTGTTTGCATGATACCCTGTGTGAGTGAGTATGATGAATCGCTGAAATGATTCAGGGAAGTGAATTTGTATTAAAGAAAAAAATATGAAAATTAAAGATTGTATATGAAAGCTGACTTAAAAATTGTACATGAATCATTGATTTCTAATATGCTATGGTATGAATATTTATACAGTAATTCACTGGTAACTCACTTGATTGACAATTTTTTTTTTTTTTTCAATCGTTTAACAATGTTAAATCTGAGATACACGGCCCTACGAGTTATCAGTGTCTGTGATATGGTGTAATATAGAAACCCTAAAAAAAATTGGCTTCAAAATGATCAAGAAGTGCCTCAAAAAAGTAAAAATCTCTGAGTGACCGGTTTTACCATACTCGTTTTCCCCAATAGACTGTAGTGTTGTGAAAACCGTCAGGCAAACAGTTTTCAAAATTTGTAATTTCAATCATAAATATCTTGATAATCAGACAGGCGATCGGCTTGTAAAAGTCATGGGGTTCCTGACTGACCTAAAGGTTTATAATTATAATTGCAGCATGAGCTAAATCCAGAATTTTGTTTCAGAATCTGAGACAAAGTTACCGGATCCCTTTAAGTCCACCCACACTACATTATCTTAATGACCGATGATCTGATTGGTCATATGATTGATAAAATCTCAAATTCAAGGGATTTCAAAACAGTCTTGGTGGAGGAAAAGCTAAATTGGCTCAGAATCGCAGTGATGTCAGACCAATAGTGAGATTGTCTATGATTTGTTGCCGATTCAGCTTTTATTTTGACCAGAAGGCGTAAACGCTCTCAGATTCCAGTTGGTAATATTCTTACAATTTTCAGGTACCGGTGCTAGAGAGAGACAGAAAGAGAGAGAGAGAGAGATAGAGAGAGAAAGACAGAGAGAGAAAGACAGAGAAAGAGACAGAAAGAGAGATGGACAGACAAAGAGAGTGAAAGACAGAGACAGAGAGAGACAGAGAGAGAAAGACAGAGAAAGAGACAGAAAGAGAGATGGACAGACAAAGAGAGTGAAAGACAGAGACATGGAGAGAGACAGAGAGACAGAGAGAGAAAGACAGAGAAAGAGACAGAAAGAGAGATGGACAGACAAAGAGAGTGAAAGACAGAGACATGGAGAGAGACAGAGAGACAGAGAGAGAAAGACAGAGAAAGAGACAGAAAGAGAGATGGACAGACAAAGAGAGTGAAAGACAGAGACATGGAGAGAGACAGAGAGAGAAAGACAGAGAAAGAGACAGAAAGAGAGATGGACAGACAAAGAGAGTGAAAGACAGAGACATGGAGAGAGAGAGAGATAGAGAGAGAAAGACAGAGAAAGAGACAGAAAGAGAGATGGACAGACAAAGAGAGTGAAAGACAGAGACATGGAGAGAGACAGAGAGAGAAAGACAGAGAAAGAGACAGAAAGAGAGATGGACAGACAAAGAGAGTGAAAGACAGAGACATGGAGAGAGACAGAGAGAGAGAGAGAAAGACAGAGAAAGAGACAGAAAGAGAGATGGACAGACAAAGAGAGTGAAAGACAGAGACAGAGAGAGAGAGAGAGAGAAGGCAAGAGGTTAAACCGGACCCCCTAATACATGCATAATATGAACTACAAGTAGTGAATGGTCATCGGACCAGTTCAAAGTTATCGCGTGGTAAAAATTACCCCAGATATCCACAGTTCTTAAAACCTTAGAGAGGCCTCATTCAAAATAATTGCTCCCAGCGTGATGCAGGTGCTTTATAATTATTGCTTTTGTTTCCCCTTTTATTTGAAAAGAATACTTCCACCGTTACTCATAGAATGCGATGCTGATGTATTAACGAGGAAGCTTCTAGTACATGTATCGTTTTGGTGAGTTTCACATTCTGGTACACTAATGGCCTTTTTCTGCTCATGTGCAGACTATCTCTATAAACTGGCTTTTAAATAAATATCGAGTAGTATCTGAAACACTCATTCTTGTTACAGACAGAGGCAACAGTGACTTAAGATGTACACCAACACATGTCCTCATATCTTCTAGAATAAATACACCCCTTAAAGGGAATGGTATAAATACTATATGCTCTTATGTTAAAAGAAATTAGATAAATCATTTTGTTTGTATATATGGTGTAGTATAAGCTACGACCACTTCCTCTTTCTTTTTCTCTCTCTCTCTGTAATGCTGTCTGTCTCCGTCTCCCTCATTCTGTCTGCATTTCTCTCTCTCTTCCTCTCTTTTACCCACTCTCTCTCCCTCTCCCTCTCCCCCTAATGCATTATGTCCGTCTCTCTCTCTCTCTCTTTTTTCCTCTTCCACACACTCATCTCTCCTCTCTCTCCTCCATTTCCCTTTAACACCTCAGTCACACCGACAAACCGACTCCACATTGACTTCAACCGATTTCTTGGGTATTTACAGCGGTACAATTGTGTGTTCAGTCCGTTGTCAATCTTGTATCAGTGTTGTTAGTGTCACTGGGTTATAACCAATTATTTTGCTTACTGGTATTCATTTACATTAAATTCATCCTCTTTCAATGAACTTTTAATATCTTACAAACACTACGTCAAAACAAAGCACAAAAGGCATACAAAATGAAAATGGAAGAATAAAATCACCTTTTCACATAACAATTTACATTTTAATGAAACTTTTAAGACTGTTCCAGACAGCCTCGCTCATAATCATACAAACTTCACATATGCTGTACTATCCATAACATGCCCAAACTAAACTTTATATCAAATATGAGGGTGCATGAAGAGGAAACATGATGCCTCAGTTGCTAATTTTTTTTTTTTTAAAGATCTTGAAACTGGACGTTTTAAACTGGACGTTCCAGTTCAGAACCAAGTCTTATGCTTTCTTTCTTAATACCAGTCACATAAAATAAGACATTGCTCTATGGTTGTTTCTAAAAATGAGAAAAGTTTGTTCAATAGTACTGATGGATCATGACCGGTCTCAGAAATATGGTCTTAATCCACAAGAGCAAAATACTCAAAATTCCAAAAAGCTGTTAAATCATTTTTTATTCTTCAGTGAAGTAATATCAGCAGGAGTTGCAATTTTCTCAAAAGCCTAGAACTTGTATACCTAACTCTTTTCAAATTTGAGCTGCAAAGTGGACTCCTTATTGACTTCTTAGATATATATTCAAAATATTTGTTTACTTTTCATGGGATCTAAGAACTAAGATTCCTGTTTTTGAATAATTGTGACATATGAAATAAATAATAATGAATTGAATAATCACAAACAATCCTAAACAAGTTCCTTTCTGGCAATTTTACTGACTCATTGTAACTGTCCCTACATAAAATTGTCCTATCAAACTTTATGCTTTTTTAAAGTCTGATAATTTCACTAGGTGATATATTATACAAATATACAATGTGTGAATAGTTTTAGCTTGTTCCGAAAATGAGTCATTTTATATTTGTTTTATATCCCTCACCATCTGTTCATTCCTTGTACACTTCTGTAACATGTACCGTATACTCACATTCAGAAAATAAATAAAAGAAAATTGCACGGCTCAAATAAAACATTGAAGGATGGATTATGTTTAGCTGGCCCACGCCGCCTATACAGGTACTGTATCAGTGTAGTGCAGTTATCGCACAGAATAAATTTCATGGCTTGAGCGCCATGACACCACACGAGTTGGCCGTGCGCAGGCATTTGATATGGGGGGGGGGGGACGCGCGCGCATAGGGAAAAAAGGGACTATGCGTGACGTCAGCAATAAAAAATGAACTATTCCGATGTAGTCAGCAGGAAACGTCTTTTATAGCAAAACTATTCTTTTTCTTGTTGTGTACACTTCTAATGAAACAATCTTACGATAAGGTATATTATACATCGTATCCGATTAATGTAAGAGTTGTCGTCCAATGACTGTGTAAGTCAGTGCACTATGGATCACATGGTACATGCTTCAGAAAACCCTTCCCGGCACAGCACTAATGTGGTTGGCAAGACATTAATCAACATTTGCTACTCTCCACCCAGGAGTAGTAAAAGGGCAACCAGAAGGTAAGAATATTCTTTGGATGCTTGAGCACCATACCATGAAGTTCAGCCAATTCTGGGGTGATAGAATAATACTTTGTATTTAGTCAAGTCCTTGGTATTTTGTTCCATATGTTACCAACATTGCAATTTGTAGTATAATACAAATTTTGATCAAGCTGATAGCCTTACTAGAGCTCAGGGTCCTGTTTCATAAAACTTGTTATCAATAACAAATGCTACATTTCTATGACAAATTTGCTCTCAGCCAATCAAATGCCACGATTTCAGTAGCTTGTAACAGTTATTGTAGTAGGTCGGGGCAGAGGATGCTCACGGATTGTACAAAAATCGTGCAATTACAGTGCAGAGGTTGCGCAGAAAAGGCGCAGTGACCGTGCAGCTGCCGTGCCGTTTTTGAGCGGTTTTTAGCTTTCATGTTCACAAAAAAATTGTGCATTTACTGTACGATCAGTGCAATGCCACCTACGACATGTTAACGGGCTACGGGATTACCATTTTTCAAATTTGTATAACTTCCCACGAAACAAAATCGTAGAGGCCGCGGAACCCGTGAATCTGTATAAAGTATTACGCCCGCCTCCTGCCTCCACATGGAGGCCGCACGGAAAAGGTGATACGGGCAGGATACGGGCTCCGTAGACTAATCGCAGGCCAAATGTAATCCAGGCATAAGTCACGTGGCCAAATACCTAGGGCTTGCACATCTATGTACAGTAGACTAGCTTTGTATAGCAGCAGCAGCATCATATCAATGCATCTATTATCAATAGCAATATTTCGGAAACGTTAGTGGTGACTATATTCATTCTAGATATTATAAACATACAAAATAGAGTCTCTATATACATCCATGACTGCGCCGGCAATATGTCACGTAAGAACGTCTTGAGGAACGTAATACGTCTCATTGTCAACCCCCATCTTGATCAGCTTTGGGGCGTAGAAATCCATCTCGTATTCTGATCGATCGGCAGGTCCAACTACCTGAAAAGCGAATAAACAAACAAACAAACAAGAATGATAAAATAAATAATGACAAGAAGACTTATTAATATGCGGATTTATACGTTGCAGATATGC